CCGGTTTGCTGCCAAGGACCTGTCTGTCTGTTAATTAAATGCTGTAACTTATCTTTGGCTCAGAGTGTGTGTTAGTGTGGGACAAGGGGGGTCAGAACAGTTAGCCATCATTGGTCTAGTGGTTAAGGCATCAAGCTACACACAGAATATCAGGAGTTCTAGTCCCAGCTGAAGCACAAAACCAACTGAGTGACATTGGATCAGCCACTTTCTCTCAGACATAGGAGAGGGAATTGCAAACCACTTCTGAAAAAAGCTTCAGGCAGTCTCTGAGAATTGGACACAATTGAACCGAAAGCGGGGGGGGGGGGAGATATACTGAGAAATTCCACAAACATGTTGGTAGGATAGATATCGCTTACCTGCACAGGTGTATATGGCTAATCCCCAAGTTGTGGCACTCACTTGTTCAGAATCTCTAGTCTGCCAAAGACAACGGAGCTGAACGAGTTTACTTGCGGCGCTGACCACCGTGCTCAGGTTCTGCAGAAAGGGAAGAATAGGAGTGCAAATGTTGGAACAAAGACCACACTGAAAGGTGTCGGAGGTGTCCATCGCTCCATTCTTTTTTGGGGGGAGGGGGTAAGCAGGAACTGAATCACTGACACTGCCTGTCTTCCCACGTAAGAGCCGAGGTGGCGCAGTGGTTAGGGTGCAGTACTGCAGGCCACTTCAGCTGACTGAAGTGATGGCAAACCTTTTTCTTACAGCGTGCCAAAATTGTACGCACGCATGTGTGGTATTGCGCGCCCCCGCGTGCCCACTCAATTTCCCCATCCACTTGCGAATGCGCGTGTGACAACGCCCCGCACATGCGGCCTCTTCTCAGGCTTTCCTCTGGAGGCTTCCCTAAAGCGCTGGAGCTGACAGTTGGCGTGCCACTAAATATGGCTCCATGTGCCACCTGTGGCACGCGTACCATAGCTTCGCCATCACAGCTCTAGGGTATTGTAAGGTACGGCCTTGTTTATTAATCATACTGATCAGTAGTGTAGTGAAATAGCATTTGATCACTCCCAAGGTTAGGTGATCATTTTAAGTTTACATATTTAGTCCTTCCTAACAGTTAAGAACTAGACAAACTTGAATTTTCTGACACAATTTCTATCCTATCCATCAAATTTCCATGTTTTTAGACCAGTGTTTCTCAACCTTGGCGACTTTAAGTCCTGTGGACTTCAACTCCCAGAATCCCCCAGCCAGCACAGCACAGAGAAACACTGTTTTAAACTATTTTGACCAGCCTGGCTTTACAACAAATCAAGCAGAAATTAAAGTGGTTTCAAGGTGTATATTATATTGCCCAGTGTACCCACAGAACTTTAAACTTTAATCCAACTTTAATGAAACGCCCTAACCTTTAACGAAACACCAAAATGACTGAAGGAAACAATTAGATCCTCTCTTTATTCTGGCCTCTTGAGCTTGAAATAGCAAGCTGTTTTGTAAGCACGGCATACATTGGGGTCCCAAACTAGCCAGGATGTCACTTGCCCTCCTCTTTGCCCCCCTGCAGAGACCTCCGATGGCCTAAAGAGCATCATCTTTCCAATCAAGACAAAATGTAGAGGGACTCAATTTCAAGGGCCATTTCACATTGCTACGTGACGATGCATCTTAATTCAAGCGAAGGAAGGCAGAAGATACACAATGAGCTTCTGACACTTCATTTCCATGAAGTTAGAGCCGAGGTGGCGCGGTGGTTAAATGCAGCACTGCAGGCTACTTCAGCTGACTGC